GATACAGTGCTTTAGTACGACACAAACAGCTGATTAAAAGCGAAAATTTGTTACGTAATGCGATCTAAGTAGCCAAAAGATGCGAAGCTACAAGTGTTAATTAATTAAGTACTGCCGTAAAGACTCACCCCCGTCCTCGTAACCGTGGAGAAGATCGTAGATCAAATCATTTGTCTTTACAGCGTCGTTTAAGCGGATCTGACCGACGCTTGTGCCGACTGGCACATTGGCACCGACCCAAAACTCATAAGGAGCTCCCACAAAGTCTGGTTCCAATGACTCCGGTCCTGCGGTTCAAACAAGAGTCGTAAAAATGCGGGTGCCATTTGCATTCTCCAGTCAAGGAAAATAAATAAACTGACAAACAGATTCTCGAGCACGATAAAAATGATCCTCGACTACAATGGACGGTTTTGCTTCGTGAACACAGAGGCACACCGAACGCTTGAATATTTCGAATCCCCTTTCTCGGATGTACCGTGATAAAATTCCGCGCGGTGTATGGGAAATATCTGTGTTACATTTGACGGATACCCTGAAGATACGAATTGTGCATTTCTGCAGCTGGGAAGTCGCCTTTCTTCGCGCATACGTGCGATAGAAGATAACATCTATGACAGCGGAACACGTCGGAGTCGTGAATGGTTCCATCGAAGGATAACTGGTTGATCGATTCGACGCGTTTGTTTAATTGTAAGCTTTCGAGAAATATCACGTGAATTATCTTTATTAATGTTCGATCAATTTGAATTTATCAAAAGAATTATCATCTTGTATTCAATAAAGACAGTTCATTGTGTTATTGAAGAAGTATTGCAGCGTCTGTCATGTTTCATATTTCTGTTTCAACGTTTTAATGAAGGATTTATGAACTTTCGTGATGTGACATTTTAATCTTACTCTCAGCTATGGAAAGTATTGGTAATGTTTCTATGGAAATGGCTTGCTGGATGTGTCTGTCACTATAGTTGAAAGTATAATTATCTTTGTCAAACACTGAAACCTAATACACTGAATACAATACACAAGTCTGAGTCAGGATTAATTACTGGAACAATGAAATCGAGTCTCATTAGAAGTGTACTCTATGAAATCAGTGAAATGCCACTAAATCTACGAAGAAAGTTACTCGGCATAAGATATACAATCAGAGTAAAAAAAGTGATACAGAAGCAAACTTTCCAAATATATTCATGATTTTTTTCGACGAATTGCATTACAGATTTGCGCTATTTCAGAATGAAACAAGGGCTCAATGAACAATTGACAAATAAACATTAGTACAGAGTATTGGTCTAAACGAATTAGGTCAGTATGTATATGGCACATTAAAATTCCACTTAGGAAATGTGATTTTACATAGATCCGTAGTCTACTAATAATCGTGAATACCACTAAACATTAGTATTGTAAAGGCACGAATCCTCGAAGCTTCAGTCTTCTTTCGTTCTTTACCTTGAAGCTTCGAAAGCTCAATCTGAGCTTTCAAACAAATAGTAAACTACAAAATTCTACAAACAGATTAACATTTCTTACTAAAGTAAAAATCAACTCCACCCTTAACCTTAAACACCTTGATAGTTAAACTTCAACCTTAATATATTAATACCTTGCCCTATGATTTATTCCTCAATTAAAATCGATATAATTACTATATCGCTAATAATTTACTAGAGAAAGAACAAATTCTTATGCTTATTCTATCTACGTTTACTCAGAAGGTTACCGATTGATAATAAGAAAATAATATTTAATTTATATTTGAACAAAATAAATAACACTTATATTTATCAAATTCAGTTCGAGATTTTCATGACGAACCTAACAAGATATTGTAGGCTAAAATATTAACAACTAATTCCACTTTCATAGCTCAAGGTTTGAACCCCAAGACCTCAAGCTTAATCCATGAGCCGCAGCCATAGCTCTCGATACCCAAAACTCATAACTCATTTTTACAACACTAAACTAAACAAAACCTAGAAAAACATCTTACCATTCGATCGAAAAATATCAATAGTAACCACAGCCAAGGAGAATCGTCTCTCGCTAGGATTACCAGGTTGATCCGCAGCTTCCACGAAGATGGCGTGTCGCCCCTCTTGGATCGGACTCTCAGCAACGGTGATAGTACCGGTATTCTCGTCCACGTGGAACGGTGGAGTACGTGTCGTTGAGTTGCCAGGTTTCTGCAGTCTATAGCTGACCATACCATTAGGCCCGAGATCGTCATCCACTGCGTGAACCTGTCCCAGCACTGTGCCCACTTTATAGTCACTTCTACCGACCATCTCGTAGAGATTCCCAGGCACGAAGATGGGATTGTTATCATTAGCATCGAGCAACGTGACTTCGACGTCCACTGAAGAGCCATTTGCTCTTTTAGAGCCATTACCAAGAACAACACTAGGCTTCCTCTCTATAGCTAGCACCTTCATTCTCAAATGGTCCCGTTTCTCACGATCGAGCACCGACTGATCCTTCACTGTTAGCCAACCAGATTTAGGGTCCACCGAGAACGCACCGGAACGATCTTTTAATTCGTAATCGAACTGGCCATTTTCCCCTTGATCCCTGTCACGAGCGATCACTTGCAATACGCTAAATCCATTTGGTAGGTTCTCCACGATACTGATGTTGTAAAGGTCTACTTCGAACTCGGGCAAATTGTCGTTTAGATCTAAGACTTCCACTTCGACCCTGGCCCCGGCTGTTTTTAGGGGATTATCTACTTGCGATGCGTGGATTTGGAGGCTGAAGGTGTTTGAAGGTAGTGCCTTCTCGGCGTCCAGGTCGATCGCTCGTTTTAGGAACAGGGTACCGTTCTTTGGGTCTAGGTGGAAGAAACCGCGTTCGTTGCCGGATATTATATCGTAGCGGACTGGCACGTTGATGTCCATGTCACTGTCGGTGGCTTGGATTGGCGTTGTGAAGTTGATTTGGGTGAAGATCGGATACTCCTGTGGAATATACATAAAGTTGATGTATGTGATGTTCGTGAGATGAAGTATAGAAGATTCGTGTAGACTTAGGGAAATTGGCGATCTATAAGTGAATAATTGTGTTTACGTAAAATTGGTGGAGAATTATGTTGCTAGGTTAACTTTCTGTGGCTTTTTGATTCTAGAAATAATAAGAATTTTGATAGGAATGAAACAGTTTTATTTGAACTACATCCATTATTGTATTCTTAATGGCATATGAATAATTCTAATTTTGATTATGACTAGACATGTGTTAATAAAAATGCAGTGTGGTTATTTTATATTTCAGATCACTAGAAAGTTCTATAATGCAATGATTATGTATTTCCATTTAATAAAAAATTTAAATCGATTTCAATATCGTTGTAAAATATTTCAATAATTTTGAAACCTCTATTATAGTATTTTGAAATCTCTGTTTTACTTTCCAGAAAGAAATAAAATAATCACCGTTGCTATTATATGTTGTAATTTCGCGAGGCAACTCTCACTCTTTGCTAGTTTTCCATTGACGTAAGTATCACTTTTTTAGTTCATTTCAAAACCATGAATTATCATTTTTATGCGACATGATGTGGAAACCTTATTTTCCCATATTTCACTGTATTATGGAACTATTTTCGTTGTACGTCAATGCTAATTATAGAATTATTATACTATCACATTACTTGAAAACATTTTTAAATGTTTATTATATATATGCACAAAATCAGTAATTAAAAAATTAATCTAGATTTTATTCAAATATTTTTCATCACAGTAAGCTAAACAATTTTAAATACATATCTTTTCTTATACCATTAAAATTAACAATTAAAGTCATACGAAACCAAAAATAAACCATTTCACATTACTTTGTACATAAAAACTGAATAGTATAGATGCAGACTTAGAATTTAGAAAGTTCGTTACGCCTCAGTTCTATCGTTAAAGATTTTCTATGCGAAGACCGAATAAATTATTAAACAAAAATGAAATCTATGAATACCAGTTACAATGAATATTTCGTTTCAAATTGATACCGCAAAATTCATTTACCACAAATTAATCTGAACAATACTCTTATCTACGACATAAAATCCAAGTAACAGAATATTCCAATTTAAATAACAATTCTTCCAAACAAACCATTAAACTAGACAACTTAAAAAATGCAATTTTATTAAACAACTTCACCCTCGAAACCCTACCATTAAAGTTCCATACTATAACAAATAAAATCCACATATGCCAATCAAAAAACCAAAAATAACAAACAAATAAAACATAAACACATTATATCATGTCAATAAAAAATCATGAATAAAATCTGAAAAAACATCAAAACATGATTCAAATAACTAAGAACATTCTCCCTATGAATAAACCTCGTTTTATATTTGCTAATCAGACGTCTGATTTAATTGATTGTTCGTACAATCATCATCCACGTATAATTATGATCGAATGTCTTTGAATGATTTAAAAAATATATGTAAGTATATGTTGGAAGGATCGTGATGTCGAAATACCGTAAAACGCCTTGTAACGTCTGAGAAATATCATGTCGAACCAATCCTAATTAAGCGCCGTCGGAGATTAATCTATTGCGCAACCGCGAAACGAGCAGTGTTTGCCACTTAGATCGGGAATACCCGCGGCAATGACCGCGTCAATGCGCGACGGCGGATGATCGCCGATGGAAGTTGTATATTACGGAACGAACGAAGAACGAACTCCGGGAAACTTTCTACGCGGCCATCGAGGCGCATCGTTTCCTTGATTTACGACGTTCCTGCGACATCAATTTTTTTATCCTACCCGTAGAAATAAACCTGCCCGATTTAACGGTGTCGAACTCGTTATTTAATGATGACAAGTTGGAACCTCGATACGCGACTCTGAGAAGCGGAATAGTGGTGAATGAAATTGAGCCATTGATCGTATCTACGATTCGAATTTGTTCAAAGTGTATCGTTCGTACATTTGGTAATGACAGAATTGATTTTGAACTGTTCGATGTTTCATTGTAATAAATTTTAATATGTAGTAATGAATGTTCTATTACTGGTGATTTATGTGAATGCATCATTTTGATGAATAATGGTGAATTGTTGAGATAAGTGGATGAAGTAATTTACAGTGAATAATGAATATTGAATATATTTATTAATGCTTTAGGAGTGTTTGGGAATTATTGGTATGGTGAACGTTTAATTTTCAGGAATATTTTTAATTGAGTACTTATTAATTAGAGGTTTTTATGTATTAGCACTTTCAGTTGATATAGACTCTACATTTCATTTGAGTAACTACATACATATTTTACTAATTTTTAAAAAATTATATTATATTACAATTGATTTGCTTTATTAAATTTCGTTTAAAATCTTCTTTAGGAATCTGACATAATATTGTTTAGCAAGAGTTACAATAATAATAAGACTGAGTTATTTATAATTTATTACAAAAATTAGAAATTTTCAAAAAATCAAAACAGTAGAGTTGCAATCAAATGAATTATAACCATTATTATATACCAGTCTTCAACATTTTCATAACTTTCTCGATGTCTCCGAGAATAATCGTACATAACTTTTTTGTTCCACAGGGCGCGAGAAATCATGCTGTAACAAAATTGTTTGTTGCGCAGATCATCTAAAAATTGCCTTTCTTTAACACCCTCCTTTAAGGGAATAACTTTTTGTTAAAATTACTAAATCAGCAAGATATTAACCTGTTAACTGTGGAATTTAATTTGAAAAATCGAATGACGAATGCACCTAGGGTATACTTTAATGAAGAATCGAAGCGAAAAAAACGAAGAATAATTAGATGTTCATCTATAAAAATTAATAATTCATCGTTGAAAGAATTAGTATTATTTGAAGCTTTCAGATGACGTGTACACTCGCGAAACGCAGTTAACTGGTTAAGGGGGTTGTTTATCGCGACAGATTCTCGGTGGTCCGCGCGACACCCGCGATCTAGGCTGTGCCACATCCAACTTACAGCGAAGGTCAGAGGTTAATACTTTCTGCCTCGGGAACCTTGAGGTATAAATTTCGTTCTGCAGGAAAACATACTCGCACGATACCATTCACGACGATATTTATCGCGGCGTTCGACTTTCAAGCGATACTCGCCGCGACGAGTCGTTCCTCAAGATTTATTCAGCCCGATTACGTTTCAGATTCGTCTGAACGACGGTCAGGAAGCATTTCGACGCGTCTCCAAAGCGCGATTTAACGCGTCGGGCCCGATTTTTCAGTGATTCCTTTACTAACTCCGGATTTATTTGGACATGCCCGGTTAACACTAAAACTATCAGTCAAAATGACTGGGTTCGGTGATTTCGTTCCGCAATTATTGATATTTTCAAAGCATTGAATTTTTTAAATGATCTTGAAGATAAATAGTTTCACTTGAATACTATAATGAATGTCCGAAGAAACTAACAATAATTTATTATTGCAATTTTTATAGGGATTACATACCGATCGTATGCGACTTGAATCATTCCTGTAATATGTTTGGATAAAATTTTGTTTTACTGATGATGAAGTGCATAAATTATTGTGGATCATAATGGGTCATAAATGTATTTGTATACGTAGTTTTCTTGTAATGACTTTGTGTACAAATTTAAGTCTAAATTTTTTAATAAATTATTATACATTTTCTCTTAGATAATATTCTTAAAGTATTTATGTATGATAACAATGTATCGTTTAAAAAATCCATTTGTAACTGTTAAATCAGGATATATTAATCCTGATGCTGATATTATTTATTGACTGGTAGTATAAATCCAATTTTACTATTCAACTGATTGTGAGTGTAATATTGAACTAATATAATAAGATCGAATAATAACAAAATAACAACATAATGTAAAGTATATTTACAATTTAATGTAAAGAGTTATAACTACATAACAATATAATATAACTACATAATATTCTACAGAAAAATTGTTTGGTTGCATAATTTATGTAACCTATCATCAATCATTCGAAATAAGCAGATACTTACTACAAATCTTACAAGTGGAATATATGATAAACCGTCAATAGGTTCAAATGAAGATGGAACTTGTAGTAATTACCCACTCCAACAAGCAGTTTCCAACTTATAACCGAGTAACAGAGAGCCATATATCATAATATCATAACGAAGTCGATTTCGAAGTATGAAACGATATGAAACTACACTTATGATCCTAACCTGTAACCTGTCTGAACCCGGAATTCTATGTCATCGATCTCCATTCGTATTTCATAGAAAGTTGGGTTACCATATAAATCGATTTGAATTTACGGAAACGTATAACACTAGTCGAACCACTTCAGCTTCGTGATCACTAACACGTAATTGAAATGCATCTCTGACAATCCGATGCTATAATCTTACATTACTTACAAAATAAAATTATGAAATCATGAATACACAACGTAATGAAACCTTTACTTTATATATCTAATGTCATTCACGTGAAGATTAGAGTTGCCATTGCTCAATATTGACAAGCTCCGCTGACAGGTTCGATTAATTCAATAGTGTGATAAATGAAAAGAAGTTTCTGACTAACAGAATACTTGAAGCCTGTATCTTTTAATTTTCTTTTATTTAAAGAAATATTCCTTCGCAGCAAATAATGTTAATATATAGTTCTTTTTTGGTAAATTAGTGACAAATCACTAAATGATTTTTCCACTGCTATAGAGCAGAACAGTAGATTAAAATTATTTATATCGAAAGAGTGCACGTGAAGTTAGTAATCATTCAAAATTATTTGCATTGTTATTGAAATAAAATAATCGAATAATTGAATAAAATAATTAAAAATTGATTATTTGAATAAACGGAGAAAGAGAGTTGTTATTTATAAATTACAGTTATTAATTCGTGAAGTTATTAATTGTTCAAAGTTATTTAGATTGTTATTAAATTAAAACAATCGAATAATTGAAGAAAATAATTGAAAATTGATTATTTGAATAAACAGATATAACAAAATGAAAATCAATTTAAATGTATAGATTGAATAACTGGAAATGAATTTAAATAAATAGAATAATTCACCACAAATGATGAATAATTGTCCACAGCAAACAGTCAACTCAGAATTCATTGAGGTAATTGCCTTAGATCAACGTATATTCGAAGCAATTCGAATAATACCCAACCCTGAGCAGGCATCCTTGAACAAGGAATCTTTATGCAACGTCCTGCGTGGCCTGCTTGAGGAAACGAAGTCATAAAGGTCAGTAGGCGCTACACGATTTAGGACACCGCCCTACATTGGCGACTCGTCCCTTTCAAACGCCGATAAATGTTTAAAGATTCCATAATTCCTTAACAACAACATGCATGACACATGGACAACAGCAAAGTAGAACTTCAGAATCACTCAAATACCATTTAGAACTTTGTATCATTAAATTAAACAGGATTGACTACAAACCTTTCAATTGAATGGAACTCGGATCGTCGTATTGCGTTAATATCTTGTGTAATACATTTTATCAAAACCATTCTATTGAGTAATTCTAAGGCTTCGCAGCGCCACGAAACAATTACCCGATCAAATTACCCGAAACAATTCTTAATACACTGGCACCAATTAATATCTGCCAAACAACTTCACAAAAGATGGAACGTGCAATCAACAAAGGTGAAACACACAAAACGAAGAAATTTTGTTTGGCATTAATTATTCAATTATAATCTGTTGCTAAGATAATAATAAATAACTTTAATATTTGTGAAAAAAAATGAAATAGTAATATATGTATGATTCAGAAAGAACATTCATCGATGCTTCGTTTTCTGGAGTAATCATTACAAGTCTATAAAGTTTCAAACTTTCTACAAAAGGTGAAACATATAAAATGAACAAATTTTGTTTGGCATTAATTATTGAATTATAATCTGTTGCTGAGATAATAATAAATAATTTTTATATTAAAAAAGAATGAAACAGCAGTATATCTCTGATTTAGAAAGAACATTCATCGATGCTTCATCTTCTAGAGTAACCATCATAAGTCTACAAAGTTTCATATTTACCGGCATGGGGTAGAACTCGTAAATCTTCGCTTTGTAAACGTCTCGTGTGAACTTCGGATCCAGATCATCGTTGTCAGCGATCGTAATCCTTACAGTTGTGTTGGTGGTCCTAGCTGGTGCACCTCGGTCCTGTAACACGAGTAAGCAGAAGGGCTAACAATGACGCGGTCGTAATAAGGTATTGTCGCGATACGGGCTGATAATCCTGGGCTCAGTTAGACGAAATGCAACCTGATTATTACACTGCAGATTTTGATGCATTTACGTGGATTGCTGAGAAGTTTCGGGAAACTATGAGAAAAGTCACAAGCAACTTTGAAATAATGGTTTTATCGTTTTTCAAAATATTCTTGTTCAATGTTAATACATTTTCAATTGTGTTTCATGAAAATAACATAAATTCTCATGTTCAGAGATTCCTACAACTTTTGCAACAATCTACGTATTAAAAATATAAAAATGCATAAAGTATACATAGTAGAAAAAAATATATAAAACATCCAAAGTATGTTTTCTATATGTACTAGGTAAAACAATTTTCTATCATAATTTTATTTGTTAAATCATACTGTCAAAAGTATGATATTTTATTCTATTGTTCCTAGAAAACTAGATGTTCGTTTATATAAAAATTAAGATACGCATTTGTATAATTGTATGTATCAAAATCAACATAAATTGTTACTAAATAATTGTATATAACATTTGTAAAACGTGTACAATTTTACATTTAGAAATTAATATAATCCCAGCACAAATTATCTAAGTTTAAGAAACTTCTTCATTTGTTAGATTCTGATGATTATTATAAATATCACGCTGCACATCGAACATTGTTACACTGCCAAAGAGAATTAATTTAATAATAATAAAAAAAAATAAAAAACCTTTCTCCTAGTTTCTAAATATACCCGGGTACCTCTAAAACAATAACCATTTATACTCAACAATCTTCAAAAGATAGTATCAAAAAATCAATTATATTACCATAGCATAAAATTCCCCAAAAATAAATTTTTTCTATCCATCAATACTTCTATCCATTATTAACACTATTTCTACCGATGCAGTCAAAAGACACCTATCGAAATTTTAACTGAAACTTATTTTCCTAGCATAAAATTCACTCTAGCAAATGTCCAAAATTCAACCAAGGAAAAAACATTAAATTGAACAAATAGCTTTAAAATGTCAAAAGGTGTTTTTCAACACTTTCGCTAGAAATACTGTTAAGTACACATTCACTAAAGCTAAAGCGGTCATTCATCATCAAACGAGCAAAATGATCATCCGCACGAATCCACGTGCAACAAGCTCAAATTAATTTCCACTAGACCAAGCTGGAAATCCTCACATCTCTCACGTCATAGTATGCCAAGGGGTTAATATGTAATCAGATTACATTTCGCTCGCTCCCGTGTGCCTCTCTAGCGTCGTGCAGTAAGTAATACTTTCACCTGTGCCTCTTTCCACGACATTAGAATCGGACGCGCGTGTAACATCGTCTGTTACTCACCGTGGCCGCGATGACCAGCGTGAACTCGCGATCGCCGTTGTCGTAGTCCACCGGTTTGCGGAGTATGAGAGCGGTTCTGTGGCCGGATTCTAGTGAAAATTTCCCCTGCTCGTTGCCTTTCACTATCGCGTAGTGGACGTCGCTGTTCGGCGTGTTCGGCTTGTCAACGTCGACCGCGTGGATCCCACGGAATATCGTCACGCCTGCGATTAGACACACGAAATTCGGAGCCGATCAGCGAAACTGTATCTAGATACACTTTCCAACCGCCAATTGACCGTGGCAGGGTTTCCGATCGATCGACGATTTACAGATCCGCGGAGGCAACGTCCTGTCGCATTTTCTGGCCGACGAATTTCTTTCGTACTTTCTTTGCGACTGATTTTGTCACAGTTCGATTAATTCGTGGTAATTGAAGCATTGTGTTTTAGGTATTGCGTGTATGTATGTGTGCACGGATACTGCTAATTAATTGCATATTTTATGTATTTGTGGAAACTGGAATCGATGCTGGATTGGGTAAAAACGTTTCTGGGGTTTGTTTCGTATTTGTATTGTGATACGTGGATAAACGTTATTGATAAGTAAGGTGGGAAGTTGTGGAATGGAATACGGAATGTGAAGATAGGTGTTGTAACACTGAAACTAACAGTCTAATTGATCCATTTTAGAATTTTTAGGTTGCAAGTATTTAAATTATGACAAGGTTTTTATGGAAAATTGTAAAATAAATTTGTGTATTCGTATAGATACCACAATGAGAGAGTCATCAAATCTCAAGGAATATATTGTTCTAATTTTTATAAGAACTTAGAAATAAATCACCCCAATTGCTCGGTGGTTTTAATGTTAATAATTTAAGAAAGTATGGTTTGTTGTTAAATTTCATAGAAAAATGATTGTTTTCTTTTATTATTTTCTTAAATAGCAAAATAAATTTTCATAATTAGAGTCTGTCGAGTCCCTGAAATTATTTTTCTTTTATTATAAAATAAAATATATGAGATAATAGAAATTGAAGTTATTAATACTGTCAGCTCAATGTCTGTAATATATTACAAGAAGATTTCAATAATTTCTTGTTCTAACATAATTCTTATTGCGACCGAAAGTTTTCTTAAGAAATCCTTAATGATTATAAGTTGAAAAAACAATAACAAATAATCACGCTAAATAAAACGTTAACTACACGTCCGTACATAAAAACCTTCCACGAACTCTAATAGCTCTGCTCTCAATTATCTCGAAAGCAATGCATCAAGTTGGTAGAAAGTGAAATCCTAATCATTCGTATCCGCAGGATATTGCACGTTCAAAATAGAGTATCAAGTATTATTCCATCGCGACTCAGCGGTAATACAAAATTCTACAAATTCTGTAATTACAACAGAAACAGTGGTTAACTCGATAGGTTTAAACGACTCTAAACCGTCAGGGATGAAATATTCATTGAAATTCATTTTTCTGTGAAATTGAGCGTCTCGACCGCAGTTGAACGTAAAACTAGTTCGTATGCAGTATATCTCACCGACTGGCGTAAGCTCGTCCACGGTTACGTGATAAGGCGCATCGACAAATTGTGGAGCATGATCGTTTATGTCCTCCACGTAGACCGTCACTGACAGGTGCGATGTCACCTACAAGCATAAGTATTAGTATATTAGATGTGCTGCGTGCTTCGAAAATATAGCTTCCCGGAGAACCGTCCGATCTCGCAGACAATTCTCATGAGAAACGGTTTGGTAGGAAATTTTCTTCTGGAATGAAGTTACAATTAAGCATAACTAGATTAAGGTTATTACGGATTAAAATATTTTATTCGAAATTTCACCTGCATTTTATATACTAGTATTTAGAAATATTTTATCAGATATGGGTATGGATTTGAAAGAAATTAAAAACAAAGGATACTATTGAATATATAATGATAAATATAATATCAAATATTTATATAAAAATTATTATATTTCTTTTGTTAAATATTATATGTACGAAAATTGAATAACAATTGAAGGATATGTTCAATTATTTGCATATTATTAAAGGAAATTCGTCAGTAATCTCAATGAAGTTAAAAGTGTTCTAATATTGTATCGTAAGTGAAAATATAAAATGACATTTCTTCGTATAAAGCTTCATTTCTAAGAAAATTCAAGAAAATTGTGGCACTGATAATAATATTAATAGGTACTACGGTGTTGTCATGAATTATAAATACGATATCAACGTGTATCGTTACGTACCATGTGGAAACAGGAAGAAAAGTATGCAAATGAAGTTATGCGAAACGTAAACAACAACATCAGAGTGGTAGACGTATAAAAGCAAGAAGGTTGGTGAGAAATATAACAACGAAAATAGTTTCCGGAACAAAAAGAGAAAATCTACAATTTCCAGCATCTTTTGAACCAGTGCTTCCTGCTACATCTCGTTAATGATCTCACGCTACGTTCCTCTGACAATGTGTGTATATGTAAAGGATATTTAAGCTTTGTTTAAATATGTGTGGAGCTAGAAATTACAACGTAGTGTAAATAAGTTAATGACATCTCACATCACAGTGAATTCCTCAACTGTTTCGAGGAATTCCTCGTACTTTCACTGTTCCCTAATTAAATCTTTGATAATAATCTAATGACTTCTGTACAAAACGCTTGAGAAATTTACTTCCTGATTACTCTCAATTTTTAAGACTATTACAGATGTTTTTATTCTGATGTCAAGAATTCATTCGTTTTATTTTGATTCAAGATATTCACTTCCCACAAGAAAGCATGACTTTTTAATAAAAAGTTTCTATTTCTTGGAAATTAATAAAAAAAGCTGTTCTATTGTATAATTTGAACTTAATTGTGACCTGAATTTCTTCATAGGCAACCCCGATTCGTCCGTAAAAATGAAAGTAGAAAATGTAACGACATATCGCGGAGAAAGTACAAGATAGCAATACGCGAACCATATTAAATGAAATGTCATCTGATATATGCTTTTATGAAGAAGTTAAAACAGAAATTTCATATAATTAATGTTCAAAAACCCACAACAAATATTCTATATTTTCAATATTAAAAAAGTGCAATTTAGACTATTACGCTATTAACAAGGAGTCAAATGATAAATACCAGTTCATTGACTTAACCCTTTACTTCTCGATGGTATCATCTTGAAATCAAATATTTCGATATTAATAAAATGTGAACTAGTAGACTAGTCCCGAAGCTACCGGTGTAACAAACTCTCTCTTTTTTCACAATTAGAACAACATTTCTTATAAAAATATTTATTTTTGTCAAATGTTAATTTTCATTAAAACCATGACTTTCTGTACAATGTAAAAATATTTATTTTTGTTAAATGCAAATTTTTTCTGTTGAATTTCTGCTGAAAACGATAATTTAGCCAACGTATATTACGAAAATAAATGTATTTTTCCTAAAAGTTTTTATTTGGGATCTAAACGATTAAATAAATCAAAAGGAGGAAAGCAGAACGAAGTAAAAAATTGAAGAAGATGAATAGAGATAAAATGAAGGAAGAAGTTGATGCATTTTATAAAAGAAAAGAGGATAAGACAATAGTCATAGAACGGGACGAAAACTTCCCGCAACTTGACAGTGTCCTTTCCAGAAATCCTGTTTGCACAGCCCAGTATACGGGATTGATTTTAATATTCGTCTCTTTCGTGCCGTTCACTCTCGGTTATCCTCTTTCCTTCTGTTCTTCTCTGTCTCTTCAATATTTAATATCAGTCACGAGACGGGACGCATAACAGTATCACTTCAGATTTATTTGCCAGGGTTGTATTAACGCAGGAAAACTCTGTTTATGCATGTTGCAATTTTTATTGCATACTCTCGCAAAACATCGATTCATTTGCAGAAAGCCTGTTTTGGTAGTATAATAATGCAGTCATTGTAACTGCAACGTGTGGAATTTAGTACCGAAGTTCAATTCAAACGTAAATATACATTTAAATAACAAAATGTTGAAAACATTCATTAAAATATTTATATCATATTAATTAAATTATTACCAATAATTGTAGTAATAATTCAAATTTATTACACGAAAGGCAGTTTATATAATCCAATCTTGATATGCAGTTTTCATAAAATGTATAAAATTTAAAAAACCATTAAGAAAACGCAGGAAAATATAAAACAACAATTTAACAATTTCCACGCTTAATAATTAAAAATTAGCAAACAAAGAGAAACGGAAAGAGAAATTCTCTACAAACTTGTATAATTTCAAAACATTATATATTGTAAATTCTCCAAAACAGAAAGATATGCAGAGCAATATAAAACATGTTTTACCATTTAAAGGTTATTTTCTAAAAACTTAAGAAGTAGAAGAAAAAGATAATGATAATTTTATTAATAGAATATTTCTTATAAAGTAGCATAATCAACAGAAAATTCTAATTGACGAGTTATTAAAATTTTGTCTCCCAAACCGGAAGTTTCGTTTTTTCAAACAGCAACACCAACGGCTTGAGTAAGCAAACTGCAATTATGTATTGCCGGTTGACGGATAAAAACCATAATCGGTATCGTAACGGTTTTGTTGATCCGCAGCATTCCTCTGAAATAGTTGCATAAACGCTGATTAACGCGTTACAGGACCATAAAACCGGTAGCATAGGCTCGGCTGTATCACGACCGGTACCTGCACGCTCCAGTTATCACAGCACACGCGCGATCGCGCCGACAAAAAGAACTAGATCTCTGGGGGAAAAGTGGAAATGGTTTGGGAACCTTTACACTGGTCATGTGTAAACCCAGACGCATGTCCTAAAGTTTTTAACGATTTTTTCCAAGAATCCATGATTGAAAATCGATGATCGCACGATTTTCATATTCAAGTGTATTTATCGTTTCACGTAAGATGACTTCATTACAATGTAATTATCCGCATGGCAGACAAGGAAACGCGGCGTTGAGATCACCGCGTAGTAGCCTGATGATGCCTTTTAATGATACCGGTTGATTATACCGGTATTTAACATTGTTTCCAACGATAAAATCGATCATCCAGTACCGCAGCCTTTCGCTTAGATCTCCAATGGAAGAAATAACTAGGGCGAAACCAATACTGCCGGTAGAATAGTAGGATAAATTGTATTGTGCTCTTTTAATAAGTTTTTTTAGGATAACGTTGGAATTTTTGATAACACGGAAAGTTAATTTTTTGTTTTCGTCTATTTCGTAGTTTTTTAAGTAAAAGCACTTCTTAGAAGAGAAATTGTGATTATAGAAAGTATGATGTAACATTAAATATTAAATATTAATAAATATTAAATATTGAATATTAAAAAGTATAGAAAATGAATATACAAAATCTGTTTACTATATTTCACAATATGAAAAGGTGTTAGAATACCTTTAACGTCTACAACTCTTTTTATCTAGATAATAAAAGATCTTACTAAATTTCCATATTTCAATCTACCATAATTTTCAAAATTTACAAAAAATGAAAAACACACATATTACCGAAACAACAATTAACAAAGAAGATTTCTATAATACTTGCACCGAATTAAAAAAACCCGTTAACTGCGGAATTTAGACTCAAAAATTTCTCATTGTACGCACAATATAATCTAACAAAGAGGTATATACTCGTCAAACGCAGATGAAATGAACCTACAATATGTTCCAAAAAAGCACTAAAGTAAAACGAAAGAGAATAAAATGTGTATTCGAAAGAATATCTAAAATCGCTTCAAGTTTTAAGATGATGTGTATACTCGTCAAACATAGTTAACTGGTTCAGATTGTCCAATTACTGAAGTTTCCCTATAAAGTACGACGTTTGAAATCACTTGACTAATTCCGCCGCGAGGAATCTTTCTCCCAAGCGTCATTCAGCTGAATGGATAATTGCTAGCCACCGGCAAGGCTTGTCCATTCATATTAGTAGCACACGACGCAGCGGAACGGTGGTTTCATGAAAATCCAGGATAAACCGATCACGCGCTAGATCTACTTTCTACGATTTACCAGGGAATCGCCGCCGTCGTTGTAATCGCAGACCACGCGGAACTTGAGCAGATTTCTAGGTGACTCCGTGTCCACGAGATCCTCCAAGGACTGGGCCAGCACCAAGGATACATGAGTCTCGTTCGTCTCTTTGTATGCAAAGAAACGAGCATCTTCGTCCTGTAACAGTTATAATACAACTCGATTACGCTGTGTCATATGGGCAACGGTACACAGGATGCTTTAGAATCATCGTTTTGTCCGCGGTTCATTTATGGTCGGCGGTGAACGGTAAACATGCCGCTTCTCAGACAGTTTCGTTCATTCCTTGCTCGAACCGCTTTTTTTTTCTTTGGAAATGATTTTTCTACTGTAACGCATCCGTTACTCTACGACATTTCGCAACGCTTGTCGAATCTCATTTAAACCATATGGTGTGATCAATTTGCTTATGGTGTAGAATTATTGATTTGGAGGACATTGGTAACTTTGAATTGCAATCTTGGTAAGTGGATAGGGCTATTTTATGGCTTTCAATGTATGATGTATTATTTGCAATGCGTTAGAAGCTTCTTCTGTGTAGTAGTTAGTAAATGATTCAACTAGGGAACGTGTTGGAATGTAATATTCCTGTAAGTTGATAAATTTGATTGCATTGAAAGTTAGATATTTGAATAGCGTACTGATCATTATTAATCATTCGATTGTATTAATTATTAGATTAACATTATTATCAAAGAAGATTGGGTTTTTTTATCTTCTAATTATGTTCACCCTTGACCTACAATATCGCGTCAGAGTCGTGACGAGTTTCACTTCTTTTTTAGATATAAATTAAATGTTATTTTCCTATTATCAATCACTGACCTTAATTGTATCGATCATAATTAAGAAATAAATTATAACACAACGAAATAAGTGTGATTTGAATATTATGTAGATACTCGTTACGTAATGGAGTGTAGCAAAATCTATTTCCTGAAGTTGTAAGTAATTTTCATTGAGAAAATTATGTAAGTGACTAAACATTTAAATGTATGAAACATAGATCAAAATAGTTCATGAACGTGATTATTGTTGTATTGTTCATTTTTTGTCCTATGATGTAATAGAATTCATAACTTAATCACTGTTGCTAATTAACTAGTCACTGTTGAATAACATTTGATACATATCTGAATTTTTTAATTTATGCTTCCGCTTTATTAATTATTGAATCTTAACTTTTACTTAATTATGCATACGTTTTTCCGCTATGCAAGAGTTCTTGTTTGGAATAATATTTCTCTCACACTTTCTCCCACAAGAGAGTGATACAAGTTTTATCATTTCCGAAGTTAATGCGAAACGATTGACTTTCAAATCTTCTGGAACCCAATTTTACATGAGTCTTCTCTGATCACGCGTTAATAACAGCTAAATTGTATGTAATATTCATTCGCTTTCGTTTACTTTCGCTGACCGTATAATTAAACACGCGATATCTGTTAATTATTTTAATTAAAGGCTAATCCCATTAATTACCAGGAAAGAGGAATTATATCATTGAGACAGTGACATACTTGTCTGAATAATTACACACTCAGATCTCTACAATTGTTCTCTCGAAATATTTATTACTTGCGTTGCCTATTAAGGAGACCAGAATGTGAAGCTAAATAGTGGTTATGATTAATTAATACCAAAAGTAAAACTCAGATCACATAATTAAAACTGTATATGTTGATTGATATAAAAGAAGATAAGTATTTTTATGTTGTGAATTAAAATTATTGAAAGGAATCATTAGAAATATAACTTTATTGTACTATATCTGGATAAAACATATTTTTTGTGTTACGCTCATTAAATTTTTGTAAAGCAATGTCTTATACTGAAATAATATACATTCAATATTTTACGTTCGTTAAATTTTCACAGGGAAATGATAGAAATTTTCTGAAACGTTTCGAAAGTTATAAGAAGTGTCTTCTCTTTATTTAATTGAACAATTGAATGTTCTGTCTCATTATATTCATCCTAACATTATTAAAGTATTAATTTATTAAATTGTAATTAAGATGGTATATTAGCTATGCAAGCCAAATGTCCGTGTAATTTGTGTAAAAGAAAACAGGTTCATATAATGCAGTAGAAATAAAAAGAAATAAAAAAATGAAAATGAATGCTTACCCTATCAACTGGCATTATAGAGATGTGATTCCTTGGATGAGCTTCTAATGACAGGATTTCCGTACCCTTCGCTAGGTTCTCCGGTACCCTCACGAATTTTAGGTACTCTCCCACAGGATAGAATTGACATCCTGCAACAAAGTCATACAAAACACATATGAAATTTATCTAAAAGATGAATAATCAATCCTAATATCACATTCAGAATAACTTATTTTCGGATACATATTATATTTATCAATTACAAACCACCACAATTGTCAGCTATACTGCATATGTCTTGTATATATCTAGTATTTAAAATTTCAGTAGAATATCTTACTTTATAGTAAAAATTTATAATAAACATTACAACAGTTCAGTAACCATGGAAAATAAGAAGATAAAAATTGCAAAACTGCAAGGAACAAAACAATTAAATTTGAAATGATTATAAAACAAAAATTTAATCGTATCTATATAATTATTTTCGTACTATACTTTTATCTATTTGTCTATTTTCTTTTTATTATAATAATTATTTATTGCATAACTAAATTGAATAAGATTGTACACACACCTATACATTCTCTATTCACAGAAACTTACAATAAACACGTGGTTTACACGGAAACAGAAAAATAGGAGGCGAGATGCAAGTGAAAGGGCACTTAGTAGCATTTGCATATTAGTAGGTTTAATTTCGCTATCATATCGCGGTGTAAGCTCACAGAGCGTGGCGGTAAGCAGGCTCAACACATGACACATTGAAACTTAGACCTATGAATTCCATCATTTTCGAGAGGCGAGACTTGAAAGTAACTTTCGTTCCCGCAAAATGTTACGACCCTGCGAGTTCTCCTCTCGAAGTTTTCGATTTTCTATGTATTTTCCATATTATCGATACTGGACAATTTTCTTTTGTTAAAAATGTAAGGAACATCAATTCTTGGACAAGTGATTACGGAACTTTTAATTGAAGAAGTTAAAGCTGCAGCAAGAGATTAAGGACAGAGGTCCTTTTCTTCTATGGGTTGATTTTCTTGTTACACTTTGATGCTTGGTGTAAGTTTTAATTTCACGTTTGGGAAAATAATAATTGAGACACGACACTTACTGTTATACATCTCACCGTATATATTATTGAAATTTGACAAATTCATTCACGCTTTTAGTGGCAATTTGTCGAATTTTACGTATGAATGAAATTACAATTACGATGTAACTGAATTTCTATTACCTATTAACAATAAAAAATGTTTAATATAATCCCATTAATATTAAAATTTTCGTGCTACCAAGAAATTAAAAATGAGATCTGAATGAAGAATAATATAAGGTAATATAATCTTAATTTAATTAATTCCATTTAATATAAATAAATTATTTTTATATTAATAATAATTTTTATATTAATTTAATATAAAACTAAAATAATATTTTATATTAACAAACCACTGCAAAAAGTGATAAAGAAATACCAACACATTAAACGAAAAAGTCCTTATATAGTTTTCAAAAACCATCATCCAACCCTTGTCCAAGCCGCAGAAATAAACGTGAAGCCTAAATCCTTCCAGTCACATTCTTGCAACTCAATTCTCCAAATCCTTACGTCAAGCTTGCTTCATAACGTTTTCAAGATATCGATAGATAAGAGCATACAAAATAAAATGAATTTTTTGAAACGTCCAAAAGGTCATGCGTCCTATTTGTGTAATTATGCATACTAAAAGTTCACATGCATTGGCAACTGATAATAAAATTGTCGCACTTGCCGACGCAATTCGAAAAAGATCAATCTTTTTTCTTTCAAGCCGCAACGAGTAGGCGATCAGGAACGAATTAACACGCGATATATTTGTCACTGGTAAACACGGGGCCTGTCGGTTCTGCTCTCGTTATCAGTATTACGAAATTCATTTTACAGGTACAGAGCTAAACATTGTGCGGGACAATTAAGTCGCGCGTGTTACCCAACCACGCGTATAAATTCAGCCGTACGTAATATTTCAAAATGTCGACGGCTGTTCAGGGAAAACGTGCGTGCAACATTTTTCGTGGTCGCCGCGCGAAAAAATACCGTTCGATTCGATAACGCGATTTTTCCCTTCTAATCTGCCCCGAGGATTGGAATGGTTCAGCATGCCGTAACCGAAGGCGACGTAATCAAGTTTTTCTCGTTGGTCAGGAAGCGTTCGAAAGGTCGACAGTTACACCGCCGCGAAACGCATCCGCGAGTTACCTGTCGCCATTTTGCGCTTCGAACCCAGTCATTTGTCCCCATAATATGTCGGAAGGTATTCGAAACTCGCCAATGGTGTTTTTATACTGTGCCTCTATATAAAGTAATCGGTTTTTATAATTGTATAATTATTGAACAGGACTTGGTTAAGTCTTAGTTGAACAGGCGGAGATTTATATTCTGGGAATACAGCTATAATATTTTAATGTTGAGAATCATAGAATGTTTTTGGTGCGCTGAAGTTGTTTTATTTGAATGTGGACTTGTATCCAGAAGTCTTGTAGTGGAATTATTATCTTATATAGGTCAGTTGCACTATGTAATTTTTTTGCTTGAGTACATTTGTATATTTTATGGTCGGTAATATTTAAAAACAAAAGTTCAATACATTCAAACCTAAAAATGTAACATAATCTTTGTTGCATATAATACAACAAAATAATGGTTACACAAGGCACACAATTGTAACGTGTGAAACATAAAACCACATAGACAAGTACTGACTATATTTTAATATTTCACTCTCCTAACATATTTACAAAATTCCAGAACTCCCAAAATTATATAAATCATAATCAAACACGACACAAACCACTAAAATACATACCATCTACAGTTATCAATCCCGCTTACTAATGAACAAAAATCAACCATCAACTCTCCCACAACATCCAAAGAGAAAATCTAAATTAACAGGTGACAAATATTCAAGCGTAACCTCTAAAAAAACGAAGCTCAAAAAAGACCCGCGCACATATATTTCTCAATTTTTGCCCGGGGATTTATCCTGTCCTCGCCAGTATCACGAGCGCAGCCGACACTAGGTGCCAACGTCGCAAAACGTTCAGGTAAGTTACGAGGATGAACGATAGCAAGAACAAGCAGGACAACATGCATCGCCGCAGAAATATGTTTCGCCGCGTGGAAAGCAGCCGCTCGTGCCGCGGTTTTATCCGTGTCGACGCGCAAAATGCGGGATTCGTATTTCAAAGTAAGTTGGAACCAGTCCGGGCGGCCTGGCCAACTAATTAGCCTGCGCGAATTGTGGACGCCCGTTGTAAAACATTGTTTCCGACTGCGAAAGGGAAAAGATCGAGGGACGATAAGTTAGACTCGTAGGCAGGCCGATGTTGGAGGAAGTTCGTGTCTCGGCGCGGGCAAGATCTTATCTCAATTTATTCAGGGCCGCGATCATCGTGTCGATCCGATCTAGGGAATGCGCAATGCAAGCATCGTGGAATTGTTTCGTGGTTACTTGAAATCAATTCGATGGTATCAACAAGTAACAGGACCAAATTACGAACGACGAGACTGACGTCTGCAAGAGAATCTAAACGAGGGAAAAGTGGAACACTGTACAGTGCGGCTGTCTGTGAACAAAATCCCGAAATTCGATTATTCGCATAGCGAAAATTGAAAGCTACCAATGTGTTGCTAAGTAATTTTTTAATATAATTAGTAATTTTGTAAAATAAGTAAAATAACAAGTTTTGTGCAAATAAATTCTGTTTCTCTATTTATATAACGTTTGAAACGAAACGCAAAATCTCCATTATTCTTTAAGAAACTTCATAATATTCGCATAATGTAAGAAAAATATAATCACCATATACTTAGATTTATACCTCACAACTTTTGTCTGAAGCATTATTTGTATCACTCATACTTTTTAAGTTGTTGAGTTTTGTCCAGCAAACGGTCGTTTGACCGTATTGTGCGCTGGTCGTCTGCGTTTCATCTACATCTGCCGTACAATATAATAATTGATAATAGAAGAATAATATTTCATTTGAATTCGAAGGAATCGAGTAATCTTTATGAGATAGATGAAATATTCATGGTATAGTGCTTTTTATATTACTTGTCAGCAACGACAATTTTCTAGGGTTATTCTTAATCCCTTTCCTTATGATTTCTTTCACTCGATAGAACTCTTTCCTTGATTCCAATTCAGTAGAATAAGGAGAGCAATTTATGCTTATTCTATGTGTATATTTATGTAGAGCACTACGATTGATGATAGAAAAATATTTAACTTGAATTCAAAGGAATTAGATGATATTATTATTTGTTATATTCTATTTAGCACTAAAACTACCAAATAGTTAAATTGACTTTTTGAAACTTCTTTATAACATCTCTATAACTGCATCTATCAAGACTTCAATTCATTTATAATTAAGTTTACATATTGCTAAATCTATTTCTTTCATTACTTCTCGGAGAAACATCTGTTACCTTTTTAATAATTGCAAAATGAAGGCATAAAGAATGGATCATTTTAACTCCTCTGATAGTTTTAATGTTAAAATATTCACCACGAGTCTCACGAGTTATTGTAAAGCAAGGGGTTATTAAGGGAAAGCGTTCTCGAGTTCAAGGGTGCAATAAACAGAGCGAGAGCCACACTGACAAGAGGAGTCCTAGATGACTAGACAGTGCCCTTCTCGGGGCACTCGTTTTCTAGCCATCGAGACGACAACATCGAATTAACCCCTTGACCTACAATATCGTGTCAAACTCGTGATGAAAATTTTTAACTGAATTTAACAAATCTAAGTGTTATTTATTTTCTTTAAATATAAATGAAATATTACTTTGCTACTATCAATCGTTAATCTTTGGAATAAACATAGACATAGAACAAGCATAAAAGTTCTTTCTTTTCCTAATAAATTATTAACGATAAAGTAGTTGTATTAAGCATAGTTAAGAAATAAATCACAGGGCAAGGAGTTAAAACAGTTTCAAATTCACAGAGTTCCCATTTATTTTACGCTCACGGTTTCATAGTCTGTCGTTTAATAGTTAAAAATAATTCTTTAAATAGCGGATAGTTCAGTCGAAATTCTAATCTTACATGTCTCTCTGGAAAACTGTCCCTTTCTTTTCTGATTCAATACAGAT